TTATTTATCCATTGCAGGTATGTGTATTTTACTGACTGTATAATTTTTCTTGCATTTTACTTTGCCTGATTTTATTTAATATGACCTATTTGGTCCCAATATGAGGTGCTGAATAATCCAAAACAAAGACAAATTTAAATTATAGACCAATCAAATAAAAAAAAAACTCAGGAAAACAACCTGAGACTAGTATTTGGATTGAGTAAAGTTCCTGGAACGGTTTTTGATTCAATCTTCAAATATTTGGTATTTTTCTTGCATAAACATGATTTAAACACCCTATTAAAAAACATTATTATTTTTCCAAGCTCCAGACTGTGCTAATATTCTTTACGGAACTGTCTCAATCTTTAAATACCAAAGCCTGCAGTCACCACAAAAACATGCTGTTTTTCAACGAATTATCAAACTATCTGAAAATTCAGTCAACCTCTGTTATTTAAAGAAATAACTTCGAAAATTACTATGTTTAAATGCTACTAAGGTGTCCGTGAGTTTTTTGCAAACAAGTCATGGACATGCGATGGGCTTTGTGTATGGATTAATTAATCAAATGTTAATATCTTATGTTAATGTTGATAAAATTTAATAGTTATTTTTATATTTGTATCCATACAATTATAAAATTGAGGGTGGTGTCTGTTTGTCTGTGTGGCTGTCACGACTATATCAATCCGATATCGGAAAAATTAATGCAAAGATGGTCCATATATCTAGGAATGTCAAGAAGCCTATTCACTTCCTTGAGTTGCCCTCGGGCTTCGCCCCGTGGATGTCAGGAGTTTTGAGCTAAAGTTTTCAAAAGTAAATATTGATTGGTATCTATGGCAGATTGGGAAAATTCATTATGTTTATCTTTGCTTTGACATTTCAATGTAAACAAAAAGAGCTGCCAAATGTTTATTTCACAATTTCAGACAGGTGATTCAAAGAAATTAAATATATTGTGATCTAAAACGTTAAATGTAAAGATCGCTAATCAAGAAGTTATTTAAATGAAAAGAAAAAAGATAAGTAGGCTTAAATAGTGAAGGTAAATAAGTTTAAAATATGTATATTTAAAAAAAAATTGTGAGATTTTCTCAAATCAGCCTATACAAGATTTAAAATTAATCAAAACCAATATGTCCATCACCACTACTTAACCTCATTGAAAACCCATTAACATTTATCAAATGAAATGGTAAGGTTGAATTTTAAAAGCGTTGGCGGATGAGTAACTATTTTATACAACAGCTGTAAAGATCCATTGTTTTTATTTCGTGTCTTCTCTCTGTTCCAAAGCACGGATACAACAGCTCGTATTTAATAAGACATACTGTATTTTTATGTTATCTGAGATGAGAATGGAACCCTGAAGAGGTGTCTTCTACCGAAATAATCTTATGACTTTTCCGAGTATTTATATTTTTGAATGGCTCTTTTAATGAATATTAATATTCTTTTTCGAACAAATCAATCCTTTTCTATAATTGATATAATTCGCAATGCTTATCAACTACCCGTACAGCATAGCGTTTACCAAACAACATGTATGGACACCTTCGGAAAATTTCTAAAATTATTTTTGGTAAGGGGGAATATCACAGTACATGTAAGTACTCAAACACTACAAGTTATTTTTGTTATTAGTTATAAGATTGATTTACATATATTTGATCTTTAACTGATCTAAAACACTGAATTACATTTTTCGTAACATGGACTGGACGTTTTTCTATGATGCTATGTCGAGCAGTTTCCCTACAATACATTTAAAATTTATAATTTCTAAAACTAAACGTAAATGCCGCAAACCCAAACTCGAACGGACAACCGAGTCAAAAATGACAGCCGCTTAACGATTATCTACTCAGAGACGCGACCGCTAGAAGTCTGTAGAAAGTCATCAAGCTTAAAACATATAATAATTTTGAACGAATACAATGTCGCGAATTTGAACTCAAAAGAATAACTGAGTAAAAAATGAATTGTTAATTCAAGTAGGCCCAATCTTCAAACGGCTGTCATTTTTATTCGGTGGTCCGTTTGGGTTTGGATAGTCAAAGGTTTGGGTTTGTGGCATTTAGCTAACTTTAATATTATGTGCGGACCGTCCCCCTAAAGAGGTAGCGTATCACTGAATAATGTGTTAAAACGATTTTAACGGCCAGTAACTTTGTGCCAAGGTTAGTATCTCATCTGTATTATTCTTTTTAATATTTAACTTGGACCTCTTGCCTATGTATATTAAACGTGGAACGAGTTTTCTAATCGATGATTCTGAATCGACCACTGGACGGATTTGCACAATTTTTCTGTTGCAGGATTATATTTATTAAAGAAAGGTAATTTTATAAGTGGAATTTTAATTTGGAAAACGTGTAGCAGCTGACGATAACATTTTAAGTTTGTTTCAGTGAAATATATTTTAGTTAAACGAACAGCTGGGTTTCTTTGTGCAAACTGCCACTAAAATGTTAACATTTCAAGTAGTTTACAAAAAGCTATCGTTGGTTATTTTTTATGATCGTACTAAATGTAATTTTTTCCTACCGTAAAGGGTTTGTGTTTTCAGGAAATTTGTTATTTTTCAGAGTAGACCCCAAAATTTTTCGCGAAATCAAGTTTTGTCATTTTTTAATTTGTGTGAATATAAGTTTACGCTACACAGGTTTGAGCTCGGCAAATTATCATTAGATTGTACACGTTATAAGTATTTGCTAACATGGTAAGTTTTCCTTTGTATTTAACCAGCCAATATACCCGTGCTTTGCATCGAGAAGAAGACACGGGAGAGAACAAAATTGGTTCTTCAAATCTATCTGTACTATTATCTAACAATCCAACGGTGTTCGTCTGTAGACCAATGTTAGTTACTCAATCACGTAAAAACCACAATTGACTTTAGAAAACAAATTAAAATTGTACCATTTTTTCTTAAAACTAAAATTTTCTATTTTCTGATAGGCCTACTGTAAGTAATATCCCGCTTCCTAGTTACAGTTTAAGCACAAAACTATTATTTGTAAAAATAAAGCAAGTAATATTTTCAACTAGATACAAGTATTTAGTTCTCAACAACTGTATAACTTTAATTCAACTCTATATTTATAGGATCGTGGTACGCAGGAGATGTTTATTTCTATTTCAAACATTTCAAAGCAGTTTTATACAGATATTGTTTTTCAATTAATAGTTTTTAACCACTTTTCAGTGGTAAAAAGTAGTGACATACCTAATACCTGCAGTAATATTTTTTTATACTAGCTTAAGTTTAACGAGCAAAAAGAAACAGAGTTTGAAAAGATTAGTTAAGATCAAAAAACAATTTTGTGCCCCTGCAATAAAATATTCACAAGGACGTTTATTAATGGGGGAGGGAGATAGGTTGGGGGTTAAGTAATTAAATATATCACTCTGATTTGCCTTTTAATGGCAGTGATGCGTCAAACACAAATAATTTATATCACTCAAAATATAGTTGAATTTACACACATAATTACGATTTAAAAGGGTTGTACCAATCAGTAAACAATATTTGAAACATTTTGTCACATAAAAATACTCTAAGAGATTCAGGTTAAATGTACCAGAAGCTTGAAGATTAAGATGTTGCACCTAACCGACTGAAAGAATGTTTTTTATGCAACAAGAGTTAATGTAAATTAATTCTCGATTATTGGAAGGTAAAATAAAAAATATTACTACTGTATTTTCCTTTAGATCATGTACAATGTAGAAATACAGCGACGGGATCACGGTGGCAGTTGTTACGTAAATAACTCGACCAACCACGCTATACCATTGATAGGCGTAACTTAAGGCCATTACTTGTGGATCAAAAACACTCGTTAAAGTAAATAGCTCGTTAAAGTAATAAATAATTTCTGTTTTTAACGGTATATTAGGTTTTTTTCACCACACTATGATGTTTTTAGCTGTTTTACATACGTTAATTGGTGGCTGAAAGTTACGTTTTGCTGGCAATGCCAGCTGTCATCGTCATTTGGGGACCCAGGTTTTTACATCCCTAGGGCCGCAAAATCAGCTGCTCACTTACTTTCTTAAAACATGAATGCATATTAAATACACAATCAGTATCCATAGCATTGCAATAGAATTGTTTTATTGTCACCGCTCCCTAGCAACTATTTATTATTATTTTTGCTGATTCCTCAAATTATTTCTTCCCAAAACCTTAAAGTTGTAGTTGTGTTGACTATCAGTGTGTGTTATTATAGTGGTGAATAGTGGTAATAGGGTATAGTGTGGTAAAAAATAGCGTTCGTACCACGGACCGAAATGTTTTTGCAGCTCTCGATCGTTTTAAGTTCTCGACTTCGTCTCGAACTTAAAAGATCATTCTTATCATTCTTTCTATACAACTTAGAACGATGTACGTGAACAAGATTTTGACTTCAAAACAGAAAATGATTGCATCCATTGGTTTTAATACGGGACGAGACATCACAACGTACAGTGAGATATAATTATTTTCCTACCACACATGGAAATTATCACATTGCCATACCTGTAAACAGTGCGCAAAATAGCTCATTGCTGCTCTAGAGCGGGAATGGATCATTGCGCTCTTAATTTACAAATCGCTATTGTACGCCGAATTATGAAGCATGTACTTTTAAGGTGGTGTTTATACCAACAAGTTAAATATTTAAGGATTAATAAGGCTGAACAAAAAATGTTTGACATATTTTTCCGAACCGTATTGAGATCTCTAAAACCATACACAGAATAGATAATTTTAAAATTTAGTATTTTTTCATAATTATTGTTTTAGTCTTCTCTTCTCTAATGGAAACCATTGTCCAGGTCGGGTTTAAAAATTTTACTGATAAGATTTAGATCAAATACTGATAAGAACTTATCAATGGACTGGCTAAAACATGCTGACCTCAACTCGTGCTTACGTCAAACTCATTCTTGATCTGTTTACTATATTGAGTCCAGCTTACCTTTGCTTACGTACTTCTGATATCAATTGACGCACGGACCAATACCTCCTGTACCTCCCAGTAGCACATTATACGTATTACTGTAATTAGTTGTGCCAATCTACAAGATGGATGTACTGAAAGATGTACTGAAGAATAAGATAACGTTTGAGGCGTTTACCGAATTTATTTTGAAGGTAAATTTACCCTGTAGGCCTGTATAGTGTATATCTTGATAATTATTTTAGTCAATGTTTTTATTTATTATGTTATTGCCGTGTAACGAGTTGTTAAGGACAGAAAACAAAGTGAACAAATTTAGTAATTTTTAAGAGTCAGAAAATTGTTCATCCCGAGCACATTATGTATTGCTGGCTTACAAAAATTATTAAATCTCAAGCAGCCGAGTAGTCACCTAACCTAACCTCACCTGACCATCGACCAATAACAATTCTATTTAGTCGTAACATTTTCCAGTATCATTACTTGAATCATTTTGGGGTGAACATGAATAATTCAGTTTAAGTTGCCTCATTTGACACCTAGATGCATCGGTCCACCCAAAGATAACATTTTCCAGTATGTTCTCAGTTTTCCACCTATTTTGAACAAATTGCCCAATACGTGTTTGAATTAGCAGGCGAAAAGAAACTAGATTCGCCAGGTTAAAAACCGTTGTTAAATTTAAATTCATATCCAAAGTTTCTAAGTTGTAAGGATAGCTCAGCATTGTATAGATTAGAAATGTAATACAGCATTTACATATACATGTATACTGCATTTCCAACTAACGTGTTCTAGTTTAGGATATAGTTTTCATTCCCTCTATGTTTTTCATTATATGTTCAACCAGTTCTCTGTATCTTTATATCTTGCCATGTATATTTGCAATGAAATATCGAGTGGGTTGCCCTAAAGGGCAACTTAAACCTTTGACTTATATAGGCTTACCTCCGTCAGTAGTCCAAAAATTGTGTCTTTTTCAACTACTAGTTGAATAAGACACAATTTTTGGACTACTGACGGAGGTAAGCCTATATAAGTCATTATTCGTAGTCCAGGGGCTATCAGAATTAATAATATTAAACCTTTGGATCACAATTATATAAACAAAAAAGGTTGAATACCATTACCAATAAAAACAACAGGTTAATCAGACAAAATACAACCAAAGAAAATACACTTTTTTGATCGTTGGTACCACTTTTAAACAATTACGGAACGAGAGTGTTCACTTAATTACACCAGTGATGAAGAAGAGCTGTTTCTACTTTGTATTCTTTTCTTCAACTTAAAATTGTGCTTTTAGGCTCGAAACCATGATCGCTCGACAAAAACGGGTCATTTGACGGCACAACAAATATTCAACCGTTTTACTTAGGATTAAAACTTGCTTCGGGAAAACGGATTAGCATTAGTAAATGAAATTGATAATACCAAGTAGAATACATAGAAAGCATAGTTTTAGCGAGTGAAAATCAACAGTGTTATATCTATGTTTTATCAAGCAAAGGTTAAAGTAAAGAATATTTTATGATGTTTTAGAAAGATTCCACAAAGTTATTTAAAGAAGAGCGTGGTTACAGATTTTTTTAGAATCGTCACTGTAGCGACGCTGTTTTTGGCTCTGTAGAGACTGGCATTGGTAGCACCGGGAGAATTTAATTCATCCGATTTAGTTGCTGTAATGTTGGGACACTTGAGGACCCATCATTTCGTCTTGTGCCTTTTAAAGCTCCCACTCAATCCTTGCTGTGCAACTTTATGTTTATGATTCACGATTTCTCGCGTACACAACGAGAATCAATTATAATTTAGGTATGAACTGAGTATATGCCCAGTTGTACGACTCGCCACTACGAGACTATGTGAGGCAGGTCAGTCGCAGACAACCTGTCAGCAGTTCTGACCAGCTGGTCGTGTTACGTCTGCAACACGCAACACGTCTACACGTCTACACGTCATACGACACGCGCGACACGTTCACACGTCGATCACGGGACGTGTACAAGTTACAGTGATCGGTTGTCGATTGTCGTATACCAAAGCATACATTGAGGCTCTGATGACACAATCGAGCATCCAAGGGGCTAAGATACTAGCGGATCTGCTTGGGAAGTGGCAGCGTTCTTTCACCTCAATATTTCTGCAATCAAAAGCCCTTCGGTCAAGTGAAGTCTGAATAGAAGGAGGGGAATTTGAATTGCGTGTTTGATTTGGTGGTTATTCCAAGGGTGGAAGAGGGGTCATCAATTCTCCGATTTGTCTCTGGAAATATCAATTTAAACATAAATTTCATCCTAAAACGTAACTGAGGGCATTGTACACAGTACTAGCAGTTAAACTGGCTTTAGAAATACACTAAACTGCTTTAAAAATACCAACTTTTCCAAGGGAGGACACCCCCTTTCTTTAGGGGTTTGGAACACCCCTAGTATACCCCTTGACAAGGTTCTAGAAGACTTGCGCGGTGATTTTAGCCGTCACACAAATCAAATGTCTGATTATGCACGCACGACAACAGACAGACAATGTATTTGCTGTATACCCTGTTCATCAGACATCGTAGACCTGTGTGAGAGTGATACACCAGTAGATAATTTGAATAAAGATTTTCTCTGCCTCAACCGTTAAAATTCACATTTGTATTGCTGAGTTGCATAACTCTCTCTCTCTATTCGAATCTTTCCCAATGTATCCAGATGCAATCCTCAAGCCCTAAAATGGGACCACGAACTAGAGATTTACATAGTTATGTTGCACATCTCCGTTAAAAGGGTTTTCTAATACATCTAGTTGCCAACTTTAAACAATAAATCTCAATAATTCACATTGAGATTTACATGCTTAAGTTAACCTCGTTTGAAAGCGTTTGCCAATGCAGTGGCCAACTTCCAGTGTTCGTCTAGAAATTGGAATTTCGGAAGTTCGATCCTGAGAAATGTCAGTAGCGTTATCATCGTTCTAAGATGGACTCAGCTTTAGCTGTCCTTTATGATTAGGTTTTTTTAATGGCTGGCTAAAGAAACAGCTGATCTTAGTCAGCAAAACAGCTGTCATTCATTCAACCCTGAACCCTCGTCTTCACCTTAAAATACGCAACCTGATGTCTCAACGTCGTCCAAATCTAAACTTATCTAAAACCACAAATTCTAAACCACAACCACTAACATATTGTATAGTTTAGCTAGACTAGAAAGTTTTACAATTCATCTAGTTGCCAACCGCGTTTCTAAACTACCAGCGCAGTCGACACCTGACAAAGTTCCAGTTGATAAAGCCCAGTTTCGCTGCAATTTGCAGTTTCCCGTCTGCAGTTGCCAGTTGCCACCTCATCAGCCTATGTGACCCGGTCTGGCTCGTGAGCCACGTTTGCGCTATTTAACGGCTCGGCGCCAATCCTATGGCACATTTGAGTGCGAACGCCGAGCTCGTAGGGATTTGCAACAAAGAAGTGCGCAAAACAGTAGCTCGAACAAAGGTGTAGCAATGTCTTACAAGTTGAAATTGTTGGGATTCCTTTGATAAGGTTGAGGAGGTTATGGGTCTTGCGAAAATAGTATTCATTTTTGGTCCAAGCTTAAATATTCATTGTGTAAAATGCAGGGTGGATATGGAATCGATTGAGATGATCTGCGTATATTTGTTACTGAAGCATTAAGTAGTCAATCAACAAATATCTTTATGCTTGCGGCTAAAAATACCAATTTTGCGTGAATATAGATCAACCAAGTATTGGTTAATCGTGAACAAAACATGTTAAAATCGTACCTATCTAAGAAGTTATTTTTATCTTGATAAGACTACATAAAGTACATCGGCGTACTTTAGGCATAAAATAATACAAGGCTAATTTTAGATGACTTAAGATTATTAGTTTAGATTTGAATGGCTTGGTCAGACGATTTAATCAATAAATCAGCTGATGAAGTGACACACCTTTTGTACGTGTGTTACACTTTTTCTTTTGCTATTGATAAAACTTCCAATGATTAAGGACAGCTGGGGAAGTTAAGAACAATCATCATATTCAACATTATCATTTAAGATTGTGATGCCATTTGTGTGCGTGTTTTAACCAAAATATGAGTGAAGGATGAGTGCAGAATGAAGTGTGATGATCTTTATAGCTACGTTGTCGACAGCTGTTTCGTTAACCAGGAGCATTTGGTTAACCAGCTGATCCAGTTTTGAACCATCAACACTTTTTCGACTTCTTCAGGACCGATCCGGCAACCTTTAGATTGTTAGGCGAGCAAAACATCAAAACGCCACTATCATTTCTCAGCATTATAAAGCAACCAGATTTAGACGAGTCTACTTGCTCTACTCAAAGTCATTGCTTCACATGTTTAGTAAAATTAATCTCTTTGGTTCCAGACTTTGAACGAAACTGAAGCAGAAGCAGCAATACAAGCTAAAGACAACTCTGTCCTCCGGGGCAAGACCTTCTCTCCCAGACTACCTCCTGGTAAGTGATAAACTAAAAGATTTTTTATAACTAATTTTATATTAGTTGGCCACCAACTTTAAGCTGCTTGGTAAAGCTTTTTGGGTTTATGTCCTCAACCTCAACTCATTATTTACGTATTTTGCTACTATTCTACTATTCGTACTATTCTTTTGTGTGCCCTGGTAAATTTGAAAACAATTGAATGAACTGTGTTTAAATCTACCCAATGCAACAGTTGATGAATCTTCTACAGAAAATACTAGTACCAAACTAAACTCTACCAACAAAGATTTTATTTTTCAAAACCATCCAGTAAAATGTTGGCAGAATACCAGATCGTCTGGCTAAGTCCTTCTCTAATATACCCATTTCATTGCCCCCTTTGAATATATGTATATTTTTTTTTATAAAAACCAAATATAATTAAAATAAATCTATTTATTTAACTGTAATGAAAACATGTTTGTTAGTGAGAAGCTATCTTTCTTGTTCAACTCTTGTATAAAAAATCCTGTGTTGCGTCAGAACAGTGTTTCGTATTTTATGAAAGATTTGCATTTAACATTCACGAGTTGGGACACCACCTATTTTTATACACTCGATAATTTGAATCATAAGTCTGCCATCAGTAACGAAT